TGTGTGAAAATGTCCGTGAAGCCGAATGGACCCCGATTCCAAAGCTGTGCTCAAAATCTCAGTTTGGCCAGAATCTTGTCGCTTAGGTAGTTTGACCCTCTGAATGCGAATATCCCATCCGTTCGACGCGAGAATACTCGATGTTTTCGCCACTCGAGAAGGGTGCCGGCACCAAGACACCGCAAACCACCGAATTTGCTGAAAACTCGCCCCACGAGAGGCTTACTTTTTTTCTCTTTTCTTTTTTTTGTCTATGACGCTCGCTATTCCCGTACCTCTCTCAATCTCCATTTCAACAAAGGGTACTCCAGAATAGTGGTCCACCAAGGCCTTCATTCAGAGCTGCATTGAATGTTGAAAAGATTCCCTGGTTAGAAGTTCTGGATAAGCGCATTCTGGCTCGCTTACCTTATCCAATGAGAGCCTTTCGTTGGGACGGCGCTGAAGCAATTTGTTAATGAGATCTCGAGCTCCACTAGAAACATAGCTGGGAAATGTGTACCGTACCTGAAACCGAATACTGCTAAGCAAGAGCAGAAACTTTGTCGATCGATAAGCGTAGAAAACAACAAAATAATGTATTAAGGAGAAAGGACAACAAAATGTGCTAAATGTGTCCTGCTTGCTGCCTATGAAGGGGCGTGTGAGGCTGTATTTGGCCCGCCAGCCCGCTCCTCTCCAGTGTACGTCCACAACTGGTGAAAAACGACTGCTACGAAGGATATGATACAGTCAGGGCACATCATTAGTTGGGGATTTTGGTCGAAGTCCGTACGACCCACCCACTCCCTCCCCCTTTTTTTGGGGAGGGGGTGGTACGACCCCTTCACTGCGCTTTCCTTCTTCATCGAGCTGTCGGAAAAAAAGACCCACTTTCTCTCTTAGATTCTTTTCCCAAGATTCACTACCAATTTTTCCGTTGGTTTTTTTTTTATTTTACTTTTTTTTTTTACCAGAAAATTCCAGAAATTTCCTGTTTTTTACCCAAAAACTTTTGCGTCAGAGCGGGGGTATATAAGTGCGTTCAGTATTGATTCAGGGAAACCGCAAAAAGTCAGCAACCTCTCAGAGGGTCAGAAGAATACGACCTCTCCCTCCCAGCGACCAAATACGACCCCCTGTTGGGGAATCCATTAACGAACGGATGTGCCTGCCCCTAAATACAGTACTAGCACTTGTCGAAAAAAAGGAAAAATGGGTTGGCTTGGCTTCGCGCAGAATCCATTCACCTAGACAAGCCCCATCATTTGCAGCGAGTAAGACTGTTCCCTTCAAACCGTAATAACTTCATGTTGGTGAGCAGATGGGGACGAAGACCCGTTAAACGGTGCCTTCCCCACTTGATGCGTGCATCACCCTAGTGCACGAAGAGGAGAAAGAAAGCCAGGAGGAAAGAATTATGCTTATGGATCTCCACCCTTTTCTCCGCCCATTCCCTTATTGTGGAATGTGTTTGCGGGATGCGTCTTTAGAACATCGCCAGTTCGAAACACCTACAACAGCTACATGAGCGAATCTATCCATAATGGTGAACATTATACTCGGTATTTAGATTCGCATCTAAACCTTTTTTCGAGATAGAAGTTGCTATTTCCATTCCTGGAAATCTTGTACCAGGGGCGGCACTTCAAGAGCGTCAATGTAATGTCAAAGCGAGAGCCTTGGAATCTCATTTTTAAGCATTTAATCAGGACATAAGGCTTACGGCGGCGAAATAACAGCTATTCTGAGCGTCAGCGTGAGTTGATAACGTTGCAGCCAAGTGGGGAGGTGTCAGGAAGGGCGGAATGAGCCCACCTTCGGCTGCCTTGCTCTGCTGGTGATCAACCAAAGGTGCAAACGCCGTGGGCGGATTCACTCCATCCCTCTTGACATCGCCCCGACTAATGGCGACATTATCAAGTGCAGCTCTCATTCAAGGTAGGGAAGAAAACGACGCACATACATTGTGAATCGCTTGATATGTACTGGTAGAATCATCGTGCTCAAATGGAGGTTTGCCAACTAAAAACTCGTAACAAAGCACGCCAAGAGACCAAATGTCAACCTGAAAGTGTATTTGAAAGAATAAATTTAAAACAAACATCAAGTAGTAACAAAGGCGAGTGTCTAAAGTGCTTACATATTCTTGATGTTCCTCTCCCAAAACTATCTCTGGTGGTAGGTAATCCAAAGTGCCGCACATTGTCTGACGTCTGAAACCAAATAGTGCAAAGCTCGAATTGCTGTCGGCTAAGATGGAAGTCTCATAATTGCCCCAATCTTCTGACAGAAATTTTTTGGAGAATAACTAGTTATGTCTGAGTAGTTATGGAAGGCAGCTCTAGGAAACCAAAGTAGACCTCTTCTTGGGCGCATGAACACTCCATCCAAAGTCGGCAATCTTCAGCTCTTCATTGTGAGCAATGAGTAAGTTTTCCGGTTTTATGTCCCTATGGAATGACTCTTTTCTCATGGCAATATTTCAGTGCATCTGCCAGCTGGTACATAAACTGAAAGCTGTAATTTAAACCATCATAACAGATGAATCACTGAATAGAATTTGACTGAAAAACGAGAACAAGGCCAGCAATGATAATAGTGAAGTGCATACCACTGCAGCTGTGGTTTCATCGAAGCGGCTCCTCTTCCTCAAAAGCTTGTACAACTCGCCACCCTTAACGAATTTGTCATGAAAAAATAAACTAGTAGGTGCTACTGGCAGGTAAATGCGTACTTGCGCATACTCCAATACCAGATAGATTTTCCTTTTATCCCAGAAATAAGTATACATGCGAAGGATGTTCGGATGTCTGAAAGACACGATGGCACACTTAAGAAAGCGAAAAAAAGTAGCTACTATAGGTGAGGGTGAAAGTCACTAAGATTGAAAGAGCAGGACCACGTCATTTTCTGCTATGTTGTGATATCCTCCGCCTGAAATATTGTTTGATAAGCGCCTAAATTAGGCCGATGAGAACGAAGTCGGCACTGTGGAATTACGCGTGCCGTCTGGTCTAAGGGGAGGGGGTGCTGATTTTACTCACAAAACCACCTAAGTATCTCAACTTAATATATTCGAGGCGTGGCATCGCGCACAAACTGGCGGTATTGCCATACTTCCAAAACGCATCATCGCTCGCCCCCCGGCTAGTTGACACATCGTTGTTGGCTGGACATCCCCAAGATAGGGAGTCGTATTTGGTGCGCCGGGAGAGGCGAAGTCGCATTTGGCGCTGAGAAAAATTTACTTTGATAGTTGGTTTCTCTCGCTTCACGAACGTTGTAAAAAGGGGTTGGTCATACTTCTTCGTTGTAGGAAGGGGGGGTCGCATTTACATTTCTGCGCCTTCTTGTGGGCAACATGGTTGCCCTTCTCGTGATTTGGTGTCTGTTTCATGTGCTACTACAATACCCCCTCTTCCCTGCCTCGGATAGCAAATTTACTGACGGTAAACGGAAAATTTTTGGAAAATTTTAGGAAAAGTGGCAAGAAGTTGGGGAAAATCTAAGAACTGCTAGAAGAGGGGGAGAGGCTGTATTTTTCTCGCGGCTTTTCCCGTTTCACATGGGCTATTTACCCCCTCCCCCCGCTCGAGAGCTCAATGGGGGAGGGCAGATGGGGCTCGACGTCGCGCGGAGGGGGGCCCGGTCGTATCAACCCTTTTCAAAAAAAAGGCGGGGAGGGGTCGTACGGACTTGACCAAAATCCCAGTGATGTGCCCTGGTTGCCGCTAGAGACACAGGGAAAGGGTTGCAGCGCTGCCACGCTAACTGTATTAGGGTCCTAACGCGAAATATCCCAAATCATCTTTCCCCCCCCCCCCCCCCTTGCAAAGCCTCTATCGTTTTGCTCCCCAGAGTAACGCTATAAACCCGCACAAACTAACAGAGTGTTCCTTAGCCGGTTGGCTTTACTGAATCAACTAGGTCTCGACGAAAATGATACCATTCCTAACGCCCCTTTCAGATGAAAGCCTTGCCCCCTGCGAAGCGTTTCAGTGGGGTTGAAGCGCGGCGGGGGGGCGCGTGGTTGCATCTGCGCGCATTACAAAGATCTGGATTACCAAAATAAGCGGAAGAACTGTACCGAAAGAAGTCATGTTACTGCTTCACTGAATATTTTGAGAATAAAATATCACCTTAAGTGTGCTTGGATTTCAATTTCTCGTCGAAGTTGGTGCTCGACACCACTCTTAATTAACTGACTCTTAAAAAGCACCTGGAAAATAGAAAGAACTGAAGAGGCCGGAATCAAACTAGAATACTGCCTCATATAGAAAACAAGTCCTCGGGTTGCACTAGAGAGGGTGCAGCTCACGAGACTGAATTTCAACTGGAAATCGAACTTTTCGTTATCATTCTACCGTATCATCAATTGTGATGCATCATATGTACAGTTGAAATCTCAGCGTTGGGAAGGGCGGGCGCACGGAACTAGTTGTAAGCGCGCCTGTCGCGGTGGAATGTTGAACGTTGAGGGCAGAAATGTAAATCGTGTGAGCACATATTGTGCGGTGCACGTTGCACAAGGGAACGTTTACTCAATCCTCCTTAAAGGATGTCAATGGCCCGGGTACATTCCACAGATACGCACTTACACCGCACCGCCGCGCTTACAACAAGTCCGAAAACACGCCTTTTCCATCAGCGTCCGTTCCTTGCTTCATCTAGTTCGTTGAATGCGTACTCTGGGCCTTTTCAAAGTCACAATAAAGCGGGGCGGTGTCAAGAGACAAGGTATGAGCTCGCCTTCAGCTAATCTACCAACCAATAAAGATCGGTTTGTGGCGACCTCGGAAGAAAACAACAACTGGTGAAAACGCCGCAGGTGCGCTCATTCCATGCCTCTTGAAAACGCCCCGACTGGCTGAAAAGAGACCAGAAAACAATCATTTCTTCGTGCAAAACACATAAAAGAGGCGCCAAAAAATTTATTGCAAGAAATTCACCTCCAAAGACCCTAAAAGAATCCCTAAGTTTCCGCAGAAAATTTTTTATTATTTTCATTCCTCAGTTCGGATCTGAAATCTTCAGCGATCTGAAATACTGCAATTAGCTGCCTCCAATCGAAACCTGGACCCTGCCTCCACTGGTGTGTCTCCAATCGAGATCTGGACCCTGACTCCACTGGTGTGCTGCCTCCAATCGAGATCTGCCTCCGCTGCTTCCTTGCCGCGCCTCGAAGTGTTGACTGACCGGGAAGTCCGCCAACTTGGAACTTTGAATGGAGACCTGGGTAGATCGATAGAGTCTATAAGGTTATTTACAAATATAGATAGCAAAACTGCAACCTGCATTTCACAAGCAACTTATGAGCAGGTAAAGTTTGTAATGGTGCAGTAGGGTGGAGGCTTGGTGGTGAGCTGTGAAGCATAAGCGAGGAATCGCATACGTCGAATCGAGTCGTGGTGGTTCAGTGGTAAGGTTCGACGTTCGACGACTCGATTCGACGTATGCGATTCCTCGCTTATGCTTCACAGCTCACCACCAAGCCTCCACCCTACTGCACCATTACAAACTTTACCTGCTCATAAGTTGCTTGTGAAATGCAGGTTGCAGTTTTGCTATCTATATTTGTAAATAACCTTATAGACTCTATCGATCTACCCAGGTCTCCATTCAAAGGTTCCAAGTTGGCGGACTTCCCCGGTCAGTCAACACTTCGAGGCGCGGCTCTCGCAAGGAGGCAGCGGAGGCAGATCTCGATTGGAGGCAGCACACCAGTGGAGTCAGGGTCCAGATCTCGATTGGAGACACACCAGTGGAGGCAGGGTCCAGGTTTCGATTGGAGGCAGCTAATTGCAGTATTTCAGATCGCTGAAGAAGGTGCTAAGCACCGAAATATCCGAAGGAAGGAATAAAAATAATAAAAAAATTTGCGAAAACTTTTGGATTCTTTTGGATCTTTTGAGTTTTTTGCAATAAAATTTTTGGCGCCTCTTTTATGTGCTTTACATTCAGATTGCAATGGGCTCCGGGACAGCACAATATCAAGAAATCATTTCTTGAATCAACCAGCCTTCAAAGCAATGATAAACTGGTTCTCCTTCATACGTGCTAGATAAACTGATCCAAATTTGCCCTTTCCTAGAGGTCGACCTATCTCAAAGTCGTCCAAGCAAAAGCGCCTGCAAACAGAAGGCAGTTAACGGTTGAGCAGAACTATAATCATGACGCTTGCGAGCGAAAGGGTGTGTGAAGGGAGCGTGAGTTGTATTGCAGCCAAAGCAGTCCTTCTCGCCAATTTCTGCGGACCCATGCGACATCATTGACGGGGAAGCCGCCGAGGTGAGGGACACCTTGCACTTTTGCTCTTTTCCATCGAAGTGTTGATCTATCAAGTGGACACCTGTGAAATCTTGGGAAGCCACGAAATATTCCCACCTGAAGATTGTACAGACCACCTGAGAGAAATTTGTAAACTGGATGAACGAAAGT